GGATGATTTTGAATATTCACTTGAAAAGTTATCAAAGAAAAACATTTTTCATTTTGTAACTTCGAGGGCCCGTAACTTGGTTACGAAGACTTTTAGGAAAAAAAGTTATATGAAGTACTGGTGATATTTTGACCCCATCTATACATTCCCGAGAGGAAAAGAGGAAGTCCAGGGACACCCTGTATATTTGAATTATGTGTTTTTATATATGATAACTGTAACTGTTTCATAAGAAATGAAAATGTGTATTCCATTGATATCAGGTGCAAGACAGACTTTCATTTGCCATATTGTGAAAATGCACCGACTTACAATTCCCACAATGTAATAGGGCTCAGATTATTTAATCTGCTACCACTTGAACTGAAAAACTCTAGTACTATCCACAGCTTCAAAATTACATTTAAGTCTTTCCTATTAGAGAAAACCTATTACTCCCTCCAGGAAATGATTGAATAATAAAATGAAAAATTCAATGAATGTATGTAAGTTTTACTTTCAAGCTCTTTTCTGAATAATCCTACACAATGTACCTTTTTGATTGTCTTACAGGATAATAAAAATTATTATTATCATTATTTTCAACATGGAAAATAATAAAGGAGGTGTATAATACCGCATCGAATAAAAATCATAAAGAAAATACCACTATTATTGAAGAGAACTACAGTAAATAATGAAGAAAAAGCTGATTTATTCAATGCATTTTTTATAAATATAGAATTGGATATGGCAAAAGCAATTGAAAAATGTAATTCACCACATAATTTTTTGAAAGAACCTTCAGTGACGGCGACTTTATTTGTCGAACCTATTGACGGAAACGAGGTACTAATAAGTATTTCAGAACTTGAAAATGATTGTTCTCCAGGTCCGCACAGAATAATAACCCTCATTGAAAAATATTCACCCCTATATATTGAAACAATCAGTTCATATAATCAACTTGTCTCATGAAAACTCAAATATACCGCACCAATGGAAATAATCTAGAGTCACCCTCGTCTTCAAATCTGGAAATCGAATTGAAATTAATAATTATCGTCCCATCTCTGTTATCAGTACTTTATCAATATTTTTTGAACAATCCCTCAAAAAACGACCTATTGTATATTCCAATAGATATCATCAACAATTCCAGCACAGAAAATGCCATAATATATTTCATAGGTCAAAGAGTTGAAGCCTTGAATAAATCATCTAAATGACTAGCAGTATATATTGATTTAGCAAAGGATTTTGATACATTCTCACATGAGATTCGGTTGAACAAACTCTCTACATACGGAATTCGAGGCCATGTTGCGGGGACTATTTGTCACAACGGACACAAAAAGCCAAAATCGGGGACCAACTCAGTGGGCCATCAAATATATCTATTGGTGTACCACAGGTAACAGTTTCGGGCCCAATTCTGCTCCTTGTATACATTAACGCTATGTCCCAAATACAAAATTCCAATAGCCATATCATTTGTAACGCTGATGATGCTGCGCTAATATTCAGAGATGACAGTTGACACAATATCTTCAATCGAGCTGAGGAAGACCTACAGAAATTGAAAATCTGGTTCAACAATAACCTACTGAGTCTTGATATAGAAAATATAAAATTTATGGACTTTTTATTGAACTCTGATGACCAACCTTCTATTAACAAATTCAGAATACACATGCCTATACCTGCATTAAGAATATGACATGCAACTGCCCAAAAATAGAAAAAGCAACGTCTATAAAATATCTGGGCGTAGTTATTGACCAACATCTAGGCGAGAACAACACTTTTCTCAAGTTATAAAAAGGATGAGACTTCTCATGTTCAAATTCTACACCGTTAGAGGTATACATTCTCATAAAAATATATTAATTTTATATAATTCCTTGGCAGAATCTATACCCAGATAACTATATTGTTGTGTGAGGAGGAGCATTCAATAATGCCATCAATTGTCCACAAACAACCCAAAACTCATTATTGAAAATTACATTTGAGAGAGCTAGACTTTTCCCAATGGAGCAACTATAAAGGGAAATCAAAATACTCAGCATTAGACCCTTTTACAGCTACCACTGTTTGATATAGATGTTCTTGAATATCCTGAAATTTATTTTTATCGCTCACAAAACGACAATATCAATCAAAAACTTGCATATCAAAATTCCGCTCTTTAAAAAAATTCATACAAAAAGATTCGATTTTTTTCTCCAGACCTAAACTGTACAACCTTTTTTCTAAACACGTGAAAAAAATTTAGGAAGTGTAGTTAAACCGACCCTTCAAAATATTTAAAAAATACAAGTAATTCCAAGACTCACTTGAAAACCCTGCATCCCCAGTTTCATTACCGTCATTATTATTTTTATATTTTGTTATAATTTTTGTTGTCTAAAGTATTATTTTTTGTATTCTTTGTTTTCATTTACGTTTTTCATCCTCTACCACTTGAATACTTCTTCAACCGAGTTAGAAAAAAAGCACAAAACAGGCGACATACGTCCAGGTGTATTCTACCCCACTCTAAAAAAAGCAAGATTAATATTGTATAAAGATACATACACTGTATTGGATTGTTTCGTATTCTATTGTATTGTATATGAATACATTAGATATGTGACTTTTATGAATCGATTGAATCAATTATCCCATAGTAACGTAACGCTTAAATATCATACTAAATTTTTTGTCATACTAAGCGACAAATAGCAATATGGAATTGAGAGTTTCTATTCAGTATTAGAAAATATGTTTATATGTCAAATTATAACTATAGGACCTTAAACACTCTATATAAGCCGACATTTCAACAAAACGAACATGTTCTTTGAAAACACCTAGGTTTTTTTATTAACATTTTCATCATTTCAGATAACTTTTGAAAAAACAAGGGATGACGGAACAACAATCACGCAAGGCCTGGAAAATGTATGTTATGCCCCTCTGCGAACCATTTATTCAGATGAACCATCTATCACTGATTGTGTAGTTATTTCTATTTTGGGATTGCTCGAGAATAGTATAGAAAAATTCAATTCCAATATAACTACAACTTACGAGACTATTATTAAGTGTTCTCGGTATGTATTCAGAATTTTTGAAAGTGTGACGAAAATGCCACATCAATTGTTCAATAAATATATTTTTTTCTGGTGCTCAATTGAAAAAATATATTTGGGTTTGTTTCTCAAATTGATGCATTTGAAGAATCAGGAAATTGATACTTTCTTATTGAAAACCAAAATGCTGTCTTAGCAGTGATGAAATCCAGTCTTTCAAAATTGTTCAGCCCGTTATCTGATAATTATCTGATAATTATTTCAATATTTGATATCTTGATATTCATTTGATATTCGATATTTATTCAAATTGAAGGATTTTCTTGATTGTGTTTTCTGTTTGTGTGAATATTTGGCAAATGCATATGATCTTGTCAAAACTTTGCCTCATTGCCCATGAAGAATGAACATAATGTACATAAAAATATTCAACCATCCAGGTATTGACAATTCTAAATGGTACTCTATACAATCAAATATTCCAAAGCTCATACGATTTTTTCGACAACAAATGAATGAGTGAATTTCTCTTTGCCGTATAATTATCAAAAATATTGAAACAATTATTTCTGCAAGAAATGTCAAATGTTGATTGCGATAAATTAATTGAAAGATATGAGTCCCATTAAAACAGCAATATCAATAGTCAATAGTTTTTGTAGACACCTGTGAATATTTCAAGTATAAAAACTAACTAATACATTCGAAATCTAAAAAATCGTGGTTATATAGGGAGTTTGTAGATAAGCTGGATGATGAGTTTTTAATTGATTTACAAATTTCCATGGCTTACAAAAAATTCATTTTCTTCCTTTCATTACATATGTGTAGGATTTTGAGGTTACCTTTACTCATCTTGTGTTTCGATTCTTGCAGATATTCAGAATACAAGATAAGTAAAGATAATCTCAAAATCCTACACACATGTAATAAAGAGAAGAAAATGAATTTGTTGGAAGTCATGGAAATACAAAAATCAATTAAAAACTCGAAATATGTACCCCTAAACGAGCAACTCGTGGTGATTTCTATAAACTCCAATGTTGAACTTTTATAGTTGGCAACCCTGTTCTTTTTTTTTGAACAGTTGGATGGCAAGGAGATTTGTGGACTTCTGGCAGAATCTTCCAAGATTGGCTCATACCAAGGCGTTAATTCATCCTTGGAAGCTTGATACCAAAAATTTGTTGGATTACAGTAGGGATGAACTACGATGGCTAATAGGCCTTCTTAGAGGTCACTGTCATTTGAATCATCATATGCAGAGATTCGGACTGTCGGAAGACAGTGTGTTTCGCCTCTATTTGAAAAATGATTGAACAGCAGGGCACATACTTTGTGCAGAGCCGTACTCTTATCATCTGACATCCTTTATATCTTTACTTATTTCGATCAAGAATAATATTCTAAATCCAACAATACTCCACTTGTCAAAATTTGACAAATAAAATCTTTTTTATTCCAATTTTTATTTTTTGATCTAGAATAACATGGATCATGTTGATGAAGTAACTTGGGAAAACTACGACTTTGAGGCTTATGACTTCACAGCCATTTCAGGGGAATTATTTCACAGACGCAAATATGAATTTTTCCAGTTAACTTGATTTTCTCAAATGGAAGTGGAGTGGCTCGTCAATTTTTCTGAATAATTGCAAAAAACCATCATACCTGTTATTCTAGTTATCCGTGACTAACAATTGAATTTGTTGCTAGGACATACTAAACAAATAGGCTAATGAATATGCTGTCACTTTCAAAAGTGTATTTGTTGTGTGGTTTATAATTAGATATGGCAAATTATACTAAGAAACAAGAAAATCGACATGTTGCTAATTTACGGAGAAACAAAAAAGAATGCAATTGATGCAGCTCGAATTTATGATCAGAAGTTTCCTAATCGTCGCCATCCTACTCGGCATTATTTCCAAAACTGGAAAGAAAAATGAGAAATGAACCGGAAGAAAATGCCAATAACTTCATCGTCAGTGAAGAAAAAGAAGGGTGTTAGCCTATGTTGAAGTGAACTGTACGGCGTCAGTTCGCCAAATTGTTATCAGTTATTCGTCCGTTTGGAGAATTTTCACAAATATAATTATTGATCATTCGAGTACCAACCGCATAAACATCTTTACGATAACGATCAAAACCGAAGATTGACTTTTCGCAACTAGTTTTTGACTAAATACAGAGGAGATCTACGTTTTCCATTTAAAATTATTTATTCAGATGAAACTCGATTCACCAACTTGGGTATTTTCAATAGGAATGATGAAAGGTACTGGTCTCAAGAGCGATTTGGTTTCAATTGCCGGATGGGTATTATCGGAAGAAAACTTTTGGGGCTAGTAATTTTCGACGGACAACTGACTGCGGAAAGATATCTACAGTTCCTTAGAAATCAAATTGATGATTTCATTGAAGATTTGCCACTGGTTAACCCAGTTGATATCTATTTTCTACAAGATGGAGTGCCACCTCACAATTCTCAAGTCGGAAGAGAACATCTGAATGACACCTTCCCAGATTTTTCTTCTCTGGGGAACAATTGAAAATGTGATGCGCACAACAAATGGAAGAGTTAAATTTTGCCGTGATCAAGGAGGAGGTCATTGAAAAAAATTATAAGCTTAATGGACTAATTTGTGACTTTCTTGCAATTATTCAGAAAAATAGCGAAAATAAAGTGAAAGAAAATGACCTTTCACAAAAAGCCAACGAGCTACTTCCCTTCCATTTGAAAAAATCAAGTGAAATAATTCTCAAAACGATTGCGAAGTCAAAGACTGAAGCGATTTACATGATTCATGACATTCTAGATCAATACATGGAAATTAGAATAAAAATGATCATATTTGTCAAATATTGTTGGATTCAGAATGTCACTCTCAATCAAAATAACTAAAAATATATAGGATGTCCCATTAAAAAATCGAAAGGTGGGGTCATTTTCGGTCAAACCGAAAGTACAGCAAAGCAAGTAAATATCTCAAAAAATGTAAATTGAACTATAATATACAAAACCGCAATGTCGTTTTTTTATCTCCAATAATAAAAAAGTTATAGGTGTGAGCCACCGTAGAGAATCACCCGTGAAACATGTGTTGCAGTTTTGTGAACCGTTTACTGAAAAATTTCACAATAAAGTGTAACTTGAATACGCGATAGACTGTGTTACTATATAGTAAAAATATATAAATAAATGAAATTCCAATTTCAGGGCACCTTATAGCATGGATTGCATAGCCCCATATGGAGGTCCAATTCTGCCAGGACTAGCGTTAGGCGGAGCTTCCCGTGAGAAAGAATATTTGGATGCTATTGGTGTGACGCTTACTTTCCCAACTTCAAATCATATGGATAAAAATGAACTCACCGACACTATGATGTGGAAAGAAAGGTATTGTTTCATCCATACAAGTCATACAAATCCAAAATGCTACATCATTAGCATTTTGGACCTCATTTGAGCCGGGAGGACACAGAGGGATGTCAGTGGCTCTTAGATTGAAATCAAATTATTCTAAAAGCTGCAACAATGAAATACATAGGTGTCATGATTGATCAGCATACTAGATGGAATTATTATATTACATTGAAAAAATTATATTTTAGGAGTGATTAATTTTTGGGAAAGAAAGCTTCTGGCTTTCTACTACTGCGTCTTGATACAAAAGAAAAAGTGGGAATTCTCCAAAGAAAGGAAAGAAGCCATCAATTTTAGAAGTGGTAACACTATACATGGATGTGTAGAGCATGCAAAGAACTAAGTTTTACACACAAACTGGAAGAAAAAGCTGAAACAGCTACTTTCATATAAACATTGAATTTAACGAAAGAAAGTTGCTGTTTCAGGAGGGCTTTTTCTTCCAGTATGTATCTGAAAGTTACTTTTTTGTATGATCTACACATCCATGTATTGAGTTATTACTTTTGAAATTGATTGCTTCCTCCCTTTCTTTGGAAGATCCCCACTTTTTCTGTTGTATCAAGATGGATTAGTAGAAAGCCAAAAACTCTCCCAAAGATCATATTACCTTTCTTGTCCAACATATCAGGTCATTAATGAATACATTTTACAGTATAACAAATATCTTATCTGGAAAAAACTTGATGATGAAGTATTATGCGAATCAACTTTAAGATAATGTATAACTACCTGGGGTGGCACATTCACAAAACTTTTACAAAATTTACAAATCATTCAAAACACTCCTTTGAAATTCATACTTCGTAAAAATAGGCGATTTCAAACTCAACTCATGTATAAAGGAACTGAACTAATCACAGTCATGCAAATCTACACACACCAATGCCTACTATGAGTTTACCTCAAGAGGGAATCACTTGAAAGGAAAAAGTCTAACACTCAGGCAGCCACAAATTGGGATATGAATGTTGGATTTCTTTGATGAATTTCAAACCCAGAAATAATTTTTGTACTATGGACCAAAACTATATAACATATTGCCGTTAAATATATAACAAATTAACCTATATATTCCAAATAGAAATTTAAAAAATAGTTCTTGAAAACTTCAACAAAATTTGCAATCTTTAACGCATATCTAACATCCACCTCACTCCACCTCTAGTATTTTTATTACTGTAATCAGGGCCGTAGCAAAAAAAAACCAGGGGAGGGGAAGGAAATCCAAATTTTCACAACCCCACCAGCAAAATTTCCCAACTTTCAAAAAATGGAAGCCAAGGGATTAGTCACTACAATAATATATTAATATTATTACTTAGCTATCCAAAGATTGGCTGAATGCTTAGATGCCCGTTAGGGTATGCACAACCAAAAATAAATTTTGGTATTTTTTCTATCTTCACGGCCCGAAATTTCCCAACTTTTCTAAGTCGAAAAAACAGCGAAAAGTTGGGAATTTTGTCACTTCAAAATTTGTGGACTTTTCAGGACTGTTCTCTTACTTGGTAGATATTGAACTTTTTTGAAGTTTTCAAACAAATCAAAATTTCAGAAGTATGGGATTTCCAAGTAATGCATGTTGGGAAATCCCAACCTTCTCCTGGTTCTTTCCCTTTTCTTATCACCTCTCCCTTTCTTTTCTCTCATTTCTATTTTTTTAATTTTTTAAACTTTATTCCCACTTTTTCCCAAGTTGAAAAAGCAGGGGGGGGAGGTTCCCCCTCGTCCCTCCCTCATTGCGACGGCCCTGACTGTAATCGATAGAAATTGCTATAATTATAATTGTATTTTTTTTCTGTTATCATTCCTTCATTATTTCAGTATTTACCTTTTTTTATTGTTTTTCTCCTTTCTTACCATCGTAATTGCTTAAATAGCTATAATTATCATTTCAATTAATTGATCTTCCTCATTTTTTTAATTCTTTTTTTCCAATTTGTTTATGTATTAATGCATTTTTTGCTTTATTAGAAGAGGATGGTCGTCAAAACAGTCACTAGTGCCTAGGTCATCCGCCTCCCTATAGCGCCTATGGTTATTTTCTTATTTTTTCAATTTACATTTAATTCACATTCAATTTACCTGATTTTACATTTAAAATTTTTAGATTTACGTTTAATAATGCATACTGTCGTTCCAATCACTTGTTTACTTGTGGACTTATACAAATTATTGTATTATTATTGTGTTGTATTTCAAAATTTTCACTGAACGGTTTACAAAACCGCAACACGTGTTTAACTATATATATATTATAGCTTCATCATAATGCCATCAAATTATGGATGGTTAAAAGAGTGCCCACTTCGTTATCTTTTCATTTTGATGAATCCATATTTAGCAGCTAGACATTGTTAACCTTTTTTGGTTTTATGTAATTTCTAGAAACATAAGTGCATTCAGTTTCTGATGGCATTCTTTGAGAGCTTGCCAACGCTATTATATTATTTTCAATGATTGGTTAAAACACCAACGCTGCATTTACGCTTCAATTTTGATGAAGTAAGTACCGATCTCGAATTTGTACGATTCATCTTTCATCGTGGATCTTCTTCCAGACATTGATGAGACCCAATAGGCTAAAATAGCTGTATATCGGTACTTCATAGATTAAAATCAAATTGTACATGAACACGAATTTGTAGATACCCGACCACAGAATAATAAAATTTCAGAAGGGACACACACTAAATGTAAATATTAAGGAATAAAAAAATTCATGTAATGTTGAGATACATGAATAAACAATAATCCGCAGTGAAAAAATTTTTATCCCAATTTTAACGTCAATAATAAATTTGTTGATCAACAACTTTTTCTGAATTGAAAGTTAATATAAAATAATTATTAAACTGAAACCCTGGCATTTTTTTCCTTCGGTGAAGTCATCCTTAATTGGCAAAGAATAGATTACCGTTGCCAAAATAAAAAAAATGTTTTTTTCTATTTT